TTGCGGTCGCACCTCGGCAGAGAGTGTCAAGCCCTTCGAGTGTATTTCTGGTATAAATTGAAGGCTCCTTGTGAAACCCCAAAAGCCCTTCGATTATAAATACATATAAATATATGTACGCAAACAATGCATAACTAATTGTCAAAAATTGACAACGCACACACACACACACACACACATACATATATATTAAAAATAGTAAAAAAAAAAAATATATTCACAATTACATAATTACAATAGAGATTGAATGGCATGAGAGGAATTTGACTGCCACAAGAAATGAATAAAATACGAAAGAAATACCGTAAGAGCCATGATGACAACTCATCATTGTTGTTACTTGCTCAGCTGTTATTTGCTTGCCATGGCATGAACATATATGTACATATATACGTTTGTAGATGAGGTATATATGTATAAGGTTGTAGGCAACAACATTTGCCGGCATGACACCGGCTCAGCGTCAGCTCAGTGCAATGACATTGCGCGACAACAAACCGATGAGCCCAAAAGTTGTTGGCAAATGTCACCGCAGCAACAGCAACAACTAACGACTGCAACTACAACAACAACAGCAAACGAGAAAAACGTAAAAAATTCATTTGAAAAAACGCAGTGACCGCGGTGAAACAATGTCACTAACAACAGCAACAACAAGAACAAAAAATAGTCATGAGTAGATGATTATATACCTAGTTATGTGCATATATATAGAGATACATATGTACATGCATGCATGCTTAACTATTGTTTAAGATAATCAGGCAGATGTGGCAAAAAAATGGCATAAAAATGCTGCAATGATGTTCGGTCACTGATAAGTAGACACATACTCGTATGTATCTTAGTATGTACGATTTATGACAATAGTTTGATGCATCTTTTATGAGCATACATTAGGGTGGTCGCAAAAAAATTTTTGATTTTTTTTCTCAGTCACCATGAAAATCTCAACAGAAATGACAAAAAAAAAGTTTTGGTAAAGCTCATTGCTATTTTCGTTTTCCCATCTAAATAGCACAGGGTGTTTTTTTTTTTTTTTTTTTTTTTTTTTTTTTTTTTTTTTGGATTTTTAATGTACACTAACAAAAACCTGTTAAGCGAGAATGAAAACATATTTTTATAGGGAATTTACTGATCTTCAAAAAAGGTCACATTTTTTTTTGGCTAAGTCAACACATTCAAAGTTATTTGAGGTTAAAGTCCAACAGCAAATTAAAAAAAATAATTTCCACAATTCTATATTAGTGTATACAAAATAATAATACAAAATAATGACTCAAAAAAATATAAAAAACATATTTTTCGTAAAACTAACCGACTGGTTGTATAGCGACTTAATGATAAAATTTTTACAAAATATCTATAATCGTTTAATGAGATACAATTTTTTTAACATTTAATACAAACCAAAATTTGTATGAATTTATTCTATAAATTCATTATTGGAAACAAGATAAATCACAAATCAGAATTTTCTTTTTTTTTATCATTTCGGTTGAGATTTTCTTGGTAAATAAGGAAAAAAATCAAACATTTTTTTTTGGCCCACCCTAGTATATAAACACATATACATAGTGCATGTAAACTATTTGTGCATTTTTTTTTTTTAAATTTACTTCATTTTAATTTCTTTCTTTTTTCATATCACTTTTAAGTGCTCATTTTACCTTTTTTCGACCATAAAATAGTGAGGATTGCATAATATTTATGATCTGCTTTGTCTAAGACAATGAAATTTTAATGACACTTAATATAAAAGAGCATTTAAAAACAAATTCATTGCTGTATTAAAGTTTTAATGAATCGTGCATACGTTGAGGTAAAGACATTAAGGAAGATGCCACGAGATTTGTACCTTCAAACGAGATTGGCTGTAAAATGTACGGCGGCAGCGGTAGCCGAGTGGTTAGCATTGCGTACGGCCATTCGGAAGGCACGAGTTCATATCCCGCTGCCACCGACATCCAAAAGCTATGAAATAAAAAATTAAGTTAAATTTTCTAAATGCGGTCGCCCCTCGGTAGGGAATATCCACCCCTCGAGTGTATATCTAACAAACCATCAGCCGTTCCGAGGCGGCATAGTATAAACTGTAGGTACCTCCATTTGATTGGAAAAACATCAGGGCGCAGAACCACAAATCGGAGGAGGAGCTCGGCCGAAAATCGCTTCAGCTTCAGAAAAGCCAAGCTTAGTACGATATTTGTTTTTTGAAAATAAAATATAAACAAAAACAGAACGAAGAAAGAAAGGAAAAAAAATAAATACCTTTTTTTTTAATTTTATAATGTACTTTAATCTATTTTGAAGTTTCCATTTCATTGGATGACCCTTCGCCCTCTTTCCGGCAACAACATTATTCAAAACTCATAGAAGTTCTGACCTTTATCTGCAAAAAAAAAAACCTGTACCAAGTGCGATTTTATAGCTTCGTCATTTTCGAAAATTTTACCATTCAATGAGTTGTGCACAGATCAAAACAAATGGTAGCATAACTGTGCAATGTCAAGGCTACGTGTATATAGTGGATGCATCAACAGTTCCCAGCCAAGCTCTCTCAGTTTTTAGTGAGTAATCAGATGCTCGTATGTGTGCGGTCTAGCGTTGTCCTGGTAGAACGTGACACCTTTACGATTGACCAATTCTGGCCGCTTCTCGCTGTTGGATGTATTGATTTTGCCCACTTGTTCATGGTAGACATCCGAGTTAATGATTTGGTCCCTTAGAAGCAGCTCAAAATATACCACACCCTTCCAATTCCACCAAACTGAGATCATAATCTTCTTTTGGTGAATATCAGCGTTTGAAGTGGTTTGCGGCGGTTCAAACGACGTTATTGTTGTTTTTATTTACACATTACTACCATCATGGTGTTAGATGCGCTTTAAACGGATTTATGACACAAATCTTATTCTTCAAATCGGTCCAATCTGGTCGCTGTAGACAAATAGTGCGCCTGTGTACCAAGTTTAGTTGACATACCTCAAAAATTGAGGGACTGCAAACCCACAACTCAACTCTCACATTTTGATTATTTCATCATGAACCATGATGTGTGCATCTCTCCCCCTTCAAACCAAAGTGAATATATCATTTCCTGTACATGAAAAGTATCAATAAAAGGTTGCGTATTGAAAGCTTGGTTGGTTAACTGAAGGAGAATGTTGATGATCTGGCCAAGCACAAGCCTTTCAGTAGCCTCACTGTGCTACCCACTTATCCCAGCTTGATTTATAAATTTCCAACCAAGTGTACCCACTTCCGCAAGGCAGGAACTACAAGGATAGTGAATAAAATGGAATTTCAATCGGCTGAAGGCAAAGCTAGCGCTCCAGCATTTCATCATCTTTTATGCACTCTCTGTACTTAGCCTATTTGACTTTACCTAGATTGATATATCCACAACAAAACTAAGTTCTCATTTGTTGTTTGATCTGTCTACAATCCACGCTGACCCACAATAACTAAGTGGTACATACTATTGTAGAAATGTTCCTCGGCTTTAAGAGCTCCCCTAAGTTTCACTGCTTCAGACAGCATTTTAAGATACTAGAGGGCCGGAGGTTGTCAATGGTAACAGTCTAACCAGCAACGCTAACGCGAGCTGACTCGTCCGATGTCTCTTAGCTATCTACTTGAGTGCGGAGTGGCACCCAAGTGATGCGTTTTCACTTTGTGTTGACACACTTATTCACTTGGCTTTCTACCAGAAGTACTTTCCTATGAAAGCGGCTGCTCATTTGGTGACTAATGTCTCTACCTGGAAGTCAGAGTTGTTGCCATTGAGTTTAAAACTGCCTTGTTTATTGAGGTGATCACAAAAGAAGCTGCTCATACACCGGTCTTGTATTTAGACCCAATCAGTATAGATATAGATACCTTCATTGTCGCTGAGCGTGGGTTATCTACCGCTCATTCTTCCCAACTAGTGAGGTAGTAGATGGCATTTAACTAGTAAAAGGTTTGAGTTTCTTGGTCGCATTTCGGATTAAATATTCGCAGGCTTCTCTTTAAACCGATTTCTCGCTATTGATAAGGGTAATCACTTGGTGCGAGGTGCAGACTATAAAACGAAAATACTGGAACCTTCCAACCGAGCTCTCGGAGTTTTTGCCTAGCCACTAAAGCTGGGCACTTCCGGGCGATAGCTTCTTTCGGTCTATGCAATTGCTGACAGCACAGCTCACAATTAAAGAGTTATGCCATAGTTGAGCCCTGGTTAATTCCACCAAACGCATAACAAAACATTACAGATCATCAATGCGAGTTTGCAGACGGTTTGTGTACGGTCACTGCCCCTCGAACTTGATCGTTTAGTTTTACGGTATCTAATTTGATGCACTTTTCATCAACAATACGAGGTCTGACAATAAAGTAATGAGACTGATTATATTTCCGCGATTGTGGTAACCCTGCGACATTGAAATTCTCTTTTCCTTCTACCTCTCCATTGATATATTTAGCAACAACTACCTTATTCGCCCGATATGTCACCCTGCAACTTTTTTTGTGTCCTAGAATAAAATCTGTGGTCAAAGGAACCCCTTTTGAGTCGATTGAGGACATCCGGGCGGCCGTGACGAGAGTACGGACGGACATCCCAGTTAAAGCGTTTCAGATATGTTTCGAAGCATGGCGAACGCCCTGGAATTATTCCATAGTTGCCCAAGGGGACTACTTTGAAGGGGATGACAGAGTTATAGAATAAATAAAAATATTCGGTTTCAATCAGTCTCATTACTCAGTTTTCACACCTCGTAAAGCACATTTTCTCTTTTCTATAATTTTTAATTATTGAACGGATCAAGACTCAAACTCTCGCCTTCCGAACGGCCGCGTTATCCCCTATGCACCTTTATCAAACTCCTTCGTATGGGTTTTACTTTCCTTCAAAAGCTTTACCTTCTTATAACCTCCAACTCTCCCCAACCACTCCCAATTTCTACTTACTCTCACCGCTCATCATATTTCACCACTTCTTCTCTTACAGCGTTGAAATGTTAACAAAACTGCCGTTACGAGCTGTCATTTGTATATTTTTATTAACCGCAACAATAGCGGTAACATCAACAACTACCACAACAACAGCGAAAACAACAACAGCATCAGTGACAAGAGTAAATGATGTCACCGAAACCAAAACATCACAAGGAAAGCCAACAACAGCAAGTGTAACGGAAATAAGAAGAAATGGAAATGGAAGTGGAAGTGGAAATAGAGCTGAAAGTCGAAAAGTGAGTGTAAGCAGAAGTAGAAGTAGCCGAAACCATAAGGAACGACCCATATTTGGCTTAAAAGACAAAGCGAAGCTATTGGCTGATGTGCGACGAGCTGAGACAACAACATCGCTGTTGCCACTACAACCGCCTCTGAATGTGACAAGTACCACAACAAGCACTTTCCTCACACCCTCAACCGGCAGCGTAGCAACGAAGAAAGAAGGCGGCAAAGCGACACCTTCCCAGCCGAAGTCGGAGACACAGCCACACTCGTCATCTTCATCTCCACCCACTAAATCACAACCGTCGTTGGCGGTGGACTCATCTTTGCCTCGCGCGTCAAGACAAACAACAAATGTCAATGTTGAAAATGTTGCCAATCTTGTCAGAAATGACAGTAACACATTGCCGCATGACAGCAACAAAAAGGTAAGTGGAAAGAAAGTCGTTGTTGAAATGGTGGTCGAGTTCTTTAGGTGTGAGGTTTGTTAAGGATTGTGTTCGTGCAGTGAACTCCGATCTTTCAGTGGTTGAGTTCTGGACGTTTACTTTCATGCTGAATAATTTATGATAATTAACTGAGGTTTCGGAGTTGCAAAGAAAGAGAGCGATTGGAGGGCAAGAGTTTGAAGACAAGCGTGCCCAAAAAAGAAGAAGAGCTACTTTCATCGGAACTCAAAAACTCCAATAAATTTTCTAAAAGTTCGTTTCATGGAACTAGATTGTGGGAGAAGATTTCAAAAAGCCCATTAAGACCATTCGTCATCTTTAATGATACCAGACCATCTGTCTGTGGGTTATGATTTTTTGCAGAGTCTCACTCAGACCTCTTTTTCACCTTATATTATTTGCATCCTAGACTGGTCCGATAAGTAGCTCTAGCCAGCTCCTTAGGTGGTAAGTCCCAAAAGAAATTTCGAGGGCTTGACATGTTTGAGATGAAACGTTTAATGGCTCCCCTATGGCCAAGGAGGAACATATAAGTTGTAAGGCCGACACTTTCATAACTGAGGCTTATATAGAGTTAATATATAGTTGAGATCTAAGTTGCTAGAACCATCGGCACAAGGTAAAGAGAAAGGCTGCTGGTTCAGGTTGGAGACTCAGCTTGACTGTAAGGGGGCCAGTAACCAAACAGTGTTCTTAAGAAGAACGAAAAATTGGAAAATCCCTCGATCTCTCAATACAAATTCCGGCAAAAGAATGAACTCCCTTCATAAAACTCCACCACTGACTTTTAAACTTGTTTTCAATCTATCCTGGAAGGATGTTATAGTTCCCAACCCTCATTAGCTACCCAGTTGGTTCGTGAAGGAACTCGCGTTTCAGAATGGTATACTAAGAACGAAATCCGAGGCGAAGAGTTCCGTTCGCCCAAGAATTAAGCGGAGTCCTCACAGAATTCACTCGTGCATGGGACGAGTGCCAAACCATACCCACGCTTCTCTCAGCCTTTCCACAAATCCCACTAAATTCCCCTTACTGAGTGAGGGAACCGTGATAAGACTTTTATAATATCATAACAAGACCTTTCAGAGGGCTCACCTGCTGTTTAAAAGCTAAAACGGCGAGAGCGGGTTTATTTGTAACAATGAGAATCCCTGATGCTTTCTAACTTGGTACTGTGATGCCCAGGTTCTATAACGGTATTTCATGGCCTGCCATGAACTTCTTATTTCCAACCAAAACAGTTTGAATTTCGCGAAATTTTCATACATTCCTATGAGCCTTCACTACTCGACTATTTGAAATCCCTTTTTTCAGCACCTACCTTCTTCGGCAATGTGGGTCCAGAAATCCAAAAGCGGTTAAAGTATACCGAAAGTATTTTTGTGTCTTTCGCACTAGCTACCGCGTATTTAATAAAGGGTGTAGAGCAGATAAGATATCTCCACGGTCGGCTCATGAAGTTCGATACCGCTTGATGATAGGGATCGCTTATCTGAGGTATCGATATGAGAAAAGCTTTCTTCTTGAGGATTCAGGTGGAGCTCGGGAGAGTTCGGCTGTGTTATATTAATAGTTCAAGCTCGAAAGACTCCCAATTAAAAAGCACTCAGAAAGCTTCTTTCCCTTCCAAAGACACACCTAACGTAAGTTTAGTGCCGAGTCAATAGTTCCCAAGAAGCTACGATTTTTAAGAGATACGATGCTTGTCTACATTCAAAATTCCTAAGCCTTACTATTTCTTTCACAGATTCTGGCGAAAGTTACTGAACTTGTGCCAGCCATGGTTGCTGAGTCTGCGGTGGATGAGTCTAAGCACCGGTAAGATATTTTCGAAAACTAAGAGCAACCACCCAGAAACAGTTCACTTACTTCTCCCTTACTCTCTTTTTTTTTAGCTCCGCCAAGAACAAGGAATCTCTACACCTACCGACTAAGTCCACCGGCTATATACATTTCGACGTAAACGACGAGGATGGCAGCGTACGAACCACGTCTACACCAACCAGAGGCGCACGCATGGAAACTGTGAACGAAGTGCTCTCAAATCTTTTCCCAAATGGTTTTACGGATATCTTTCGCTTCAGTTATGCCTCCGAGCAGCCTACACCGGCAAACTTGCAGGCACCAGTGATAGAAGCGGCTGTTCCACAACAAACAACAACCGCCGCAACGCTTGAGACGAAGTTGACGACATCGCCGAGTGTAACGACAACGAGTGCAATCACACAGACTGCGAAAAAGTCAGAAGAAACACCGGCAAAAGCTTTATATCGCTATGAGACGAGCATCTCGAAAGAATATCGACGTGAGCTGCGACCCGGACACACAGAAATTGTTGTGGAGAAGTTGGAGTTGATGCCACGCGCTGAGAAGACAGGTAGCGATGAGTTTCGTGATGGCAGTAATGTGATAACCAAAGACGATTTGTTGCGCATTAATCGTGCGGCCGTTGATGCGCCGGTGCTGCCCAGTTTGCTGATGAATCCCACTAACGCAAGTGGAAATGGCACTGCAGGGGAGAAGGGAAAGAAGCAGGCACCCATAATAATACTGAATGACGACGACAGTGCCGATATGGAGGGTATCAGCGCTGAGGATAATCTCATTGCAGAGTCGCAGAATGTTGGACAAAGGATATACCAGCGCTTGCCGGTTGATGGAAAGTCACAGGGTTACAAGTTCAGCGTGCAAAGTGAACGCCTGCAGCCGCAGTCAGAGGTGAGTATAAGAATTGTGCATGAGGAGGCGCCTCATTTTAAGGGCTCCATAAGTGAAAACCCCATTTTTGTGCCCGAGGTGTCACAGGCGAAGGCATCAAACAAAGGCAAACCATCATCAGCACATGGACCACCCAGCCAACAACTTGACACTTTCCAGGAGCATGCAGAGCAATCTTTTCATCATTTGAATTTGGCGCACGAAGCTCCTTCGCGTAAATTCTTACGGAACTTCAATCCGGTTTTGTCAGTGGATGCGGCTACCTCGACGCCGAAGGGAACAACATTCCACTATGTGGCCAATGCGCTACATCCGAGCTTCTATACACAAACAGGAGAGCAGGCAGCTAAGTCCGCATCGAGTTCCATCGCAGCTGCGGGGCGAATTGAAGGCTCGTCACCAGCTGGCGCTCAGTTACAACAGTCGTCGGCACCCGCGCGTCTACCCTCAGTATTACAGTATGACAAAGACGCTGCTCAGTTGCAATATTTGAAAGAGCAACAATTTTTACAACAACAACAGCAAATTTTACAACAACAACAGCAGCTACTACTGCAACAGCAACAACAGGAACAACAACGGCAGCAACATGAGAGACTCATACAGCAACAGCGCGAACTGCAGTGGAAGGAGAAGCAACAACAACAACAGCAACAGCAGCAACAACAGCAACAACAGCAACAACAACACCAGCAATTGTTACAACAACAACAGGAGTCTGCTAAACTACCAAAACAACTTTTCCATCCTGAGCCGCAACACCAACAACAGCAGCATCAGCAACAACATTTTCACAAAGAACTGCAACAACAACAGCAGCAGCAGCATGCGCCCGCCCAGCCGCAGTATGCGATTTATCAACAGCATCCGCCACCGCATGAGTACAAGCAGCAGCAAGAAAGTGAACAGCAACAACAAAACCATCAATATTTCAAGCAATACCAGCAGCAACATCAGACCGCAGAAGCCGAAAAGGTCCTCAAGCAGCAGCAACAACACCAACAAGAGCAACTGAGAAAGCGACAGGAAGAACAGCAACACCAACAACAACAGCAACAGCAATCAACATCACAGCCTCAGCAAAAATACACCAGCCCATCCGCAAGCTCTTCCAACCCGGTTTCCAAGCTGCACACCCATGTAGGTGGCGATTCGGTGGCAGCTCCCGCTTCATTGGCTCAACATACATATCACCATCCGTTGACGGGACCACAGTCGTACAGCCCTCCTTCCACGCCCACACCGCATAGCGTAGTCTTCGTCACCCTACATACACCACGCTCACAATCCCAAATCGCACACCCGCAAGATGCTCGCCCGGTTTACACTCAGTACGTTACCGAGCACCATTCACAGCCTGCACCGCCAACATCCGCCGCCACAACTCGACGTCCCCACGCTGGCTACACTTTTGTCGAGGTGCAGAAGTCCGTGAATATTCACAATAAGCTCATCACTGAAAAGGACGGCAAGTTAGTGGAGGAGCATGAAACCATTTACCCACTTCCACCACAGTATACCGTGCAACAACAACAACAAAACTCGCCGTCTCCAACGAAACCAGCCGTCCTAGTACAATCATCACCATCACCAGCCACCGCACCGCCACCACCGCCAGCACCAAAACCTGTAACCACACATGCACCTGCATCACACGCCGAGCCTCAACACAGCCAGTATCCCATACAATATGCACAGCAGCTCTCCATACTGGAGGAGGGCATACATCCGCATGATTACTACTTTGTGCCCAAGGAATATGCCTCGCTTGCTGATAACCCAATACACGTGCAGCACATCGATGAGCCCGAACAGCAAGAAGAAGCCTCGTCCTATGCACACCTCGAGCATGTATTGCCAATCGAGGGCCATGCGCATGCGCACGAGCATCACCCCCACGAGCACCACGAGCCACAGCAATACGTTCAATATGTACAACACCAGTATGTCGAACAGCCTGTGCAGCAGGATGCACATAAGCCAGCCGCCCAACCAGCAGCAGAGCAAACACAACAACAATCGGCAGCCAGTGAGCATATTGCTGAGCATGCAGCGCCAACGCAAGCGCACATAGAGCACCACCAACCGTCAACAGAGAAGGAGGTTGTCGAACATCACGTCGAGAAGATTGTTGAGCGTCCTGTACATGTGCCCTACCCAGTGCATGTGCCACAATACATCGACCGCCCCTACCCCGTGCAAGAAATAGTCGAGACGCATATACCAGTACCATATCCGGTGCCTGAGCCGGTGCCGGTGCCAGTGCACGTTGAGAAATACATTGATCGCCCCTATCCCGTGGAAAAGATTGTAGAAAAGCGTGTGCCGTATCCGGTGGAGAAAGTTGTTGAGAAAATTGTCGAAAAAGAAATACCAATCCAAGTTGAAAAAGTGGTTGAAAAATTCGTAGATCGTCCAGTGCCCATACCGATACGCGTGCCCGTCGCCATACCAGTACCCTACGCGCATCAGCCACTACCTGAATACGGCGATCCCGGCGAGTTTTTGGGTTCTTCCTACCAACAACTTCCTAACGCGCTTGGTGGTTGGGCTGAGCCCTCCGGACCCAATGAACTTGCCGGTCGTGGCCCCGTAACTCTGCCTATACCACCTAAGGTGCTGCAAAATTACTACACGCGCATGCTGAAGAAGCTCTTACCGCAAGCATTGGCACAACGTGGCACTTCCACCTCATCATTGTCACCATCATCGACCACGTCAAGCACCACCTACACTCACACGCAAGCACGACCGAAGAAACCTACGCCTAGCACGCAAACCTCATACAAATCCACCAAACAACCGAAATTGTCCTCCTCAAGTGGCACGTCCAGCAAACAGCATTCCTTCAAAATCGGTGACATACGATTCGATCTAAAACCACCACCACCACCGCCCACCGGGCCGGAATGGTCGAAGGGCGCACGTTACATTTACAATACTCTACCGCATGATCTCTCTGTGGCCGACACCTCAGACGCCGAGCAGTTAGCGGACGCCCTCAGCGGTCATTATGCTTCGCCCAATGAACCCTACGATGAGTTCCAACGCTGGCGGAATGGTCATACGCTGAAGCGTAGCCCACAGTTTGGTCGGAACTTACAAATGGAATATGGCTTCAAGCCACCACTTGTGCCCTCTGTGGAGATCAATGATCAGGGCATACCATTGCATGCGGAGGAGAAGAAGGCAGAATAATTGCTGGGAGCTCATACAGGGCATACGTATATCTACAATTCATAAGCTGGCGATTAACATTTAGTATTTAAGTTTTATTTAAATACTTAGCAAGTTTAATGTATTTAATATCTGTGCCAAAATATTTTTCTTTTTAACTAAAATATGATTTTTAAAACATTTTTACGTATAAAATGTGCTGCCGATGAGCCGATTGAGAATTCCTGCTGCGTTGAGTGAAATATACGAAATCAACTCTAATCCGAAACCAACGGAGTTTTCTTCGCAGGTCCACAGAGCCATCTAACGGTCTTTTACTCCAATGGAACTTAGTGTAGCTTAGCATCCGAGAATCTTAATAAATATAATATTTAATAACTAATTTTACTCATGTAAGTATTTATGTATGGACACAAAAGATTATATTCTAAATAAAATTATCTCCCGAGATTTTGGTTTTATTATGGTGAGAGAGAGCGATTTAAAATTTGTGAACCAATTTTTTTCATCTATAGTCCCGCAAAAGTGATACTCTCGTTCGCCTACTTTCAACCGGATCGCATATGTGCTAGTCGGACAGCTACTAGTCGGAGTCCCTATTGAAAGTAGTCAATCTTCTTAATAGAGGAGAAGGCTGAGCTACTGTAGAAAACTTTTTTACCTACCATTCCTCCTAACAGAAGATTCTCCTATATCTCTATTTTAGTACTTTACTGCACGGTTAGTATATAACTTTGCCATACCTCCGAGACCTAGAACCCTATCTCCTCCCCTTTCTTGCATTTTTTCTCTCTAAACAGCTTAAACTATTTTAGACTTTGCTTTCTTCTATAATATGAAACCCGTCTTGCCTTCACTTTCTGGTGGCTTGAACTTTAAGTCCAGAACCTCAATTAGGATCAAAAGTTTGGGTCAAATATGGCGCTCGTTGCATTATCTACTTGAAATATCTAAAGTATACTCAGCAAGGCGGCAGCTTAAGCCGCGTGGTCAGACCAAATTTCCTGAAAGTCGGTATATTGTAGTAGTCTTAATTTCTAACTCTCTAGACTTGAGCCCGACATATATTATAATAAGTGCCCGCATGACACTAACCACCTCTTTTTGTGCCTGCTAAAATCAACTCATCTCACACCCTCTACCTCTGATCTGAGCTCATCAAAATAGCTTACTTCCTGAACCTCCCTTCCCAGCAACTGGAGCTGGAGCCTGGTTTTGAGAAGAGGATCAGGTTCAGCATTTTCGCTGCCTAGATACCTGAAGTTGGCTACGTTTTTAAAGATGTGATCGCTCGTAGACGATTCTGATATTAATAATGCTATTACTTTCAGCTTCTCAGCACTCGAGGGAATCCTTTCCTTTACAGTTTCTCATTCGAAGTTTTTCGCAGCCCTTAGTTCCATGAGTTTTGAGTTTTGTAGTACACCTACAGCAGACCTCCATGATAATGTGAAGCCTTTCACATTCCAGGCCATATTTCTTGGAAACATCATATTGAAATTGAGCTTTTTGGGGTCTTAGTCACAGTGTGAGGGGTATCATGATGATCCTCTGACTTATCTTTTAAGCAATTATCAAGATTTTTTTATTTCTTCGTGCCTAGACTATTAAAGAAGTTAAGGAGTAATTATGAAACCCAATCTAATAAATGAGCTCATGTTCCTCTCCATCTCATTTTTCCAATGGAGTGGAGGTCCTTTTCTTACTCTGCTAACTCAAGCGGATTCTGCATGGAATAAATTTAAAGCTGTAATCCTCTTATCCTGTCCTGCTTACCCTGTCTCTTTATTCTTATATCATTTATGTCAATGGTAGCTGATTTTATTGGCCTTTGCCAATGCACAAAGGACCATATATCTTCCACTTAAACTTCGTATGCTTGGCAATCTATGGAGGGATTTGTAGAGTTTGTGCTTAGTTCGTCGAGAAAGAGATTCACCTTGCAATTGCCTACTCAGTTCGAAGCAGCATATGTTGACCAGAGTAGTACTGGTTCCTGAATATAGTTTCAAGGTTATGATCGTCTCCAATGACGTGGAAAGTGAGTCACCACCAAGCTCAATGGCTTAGTTTTTTTGAAGCCTTGTTTGACTGCTTCCCGCTTCTGTTGGAATTAGGCAGAGCACACCAAAGTTCTAGTTGTCCGCTACGTATTCTTCCGACCATATTCCGCAGAGAAAATTTTGCATTCACCTTCGTGCTTGATTAGTTTAAAGAGCAATCCAACCTTTCCCATCACTTTGTTATACTTTGCAAGTGCAACTGCTATGCGGACTTCTCCATTTTCGGGCTGTGAATCATTATAGATTATTTTGGGTTAGGGTACAGCACCTGTCGTAATTTATTCACCACCATCACTGCAGCTAAGCCAGCTACAGAAATGTGTCGTATGCTTTGCACGCTGGCTACCAGGCTGCCTTGCTCGTTCTAACTTGAGTACGCTCCGGTCTGGGAAGTTTCAACAAGCGGCCTAATCTTTTTGTAGAATTTTCAAGCTGTACCCTTATAAGCCAGCTTTTCAAGCTCTTCGTACTCTTGCATCTCGTCGGCTTCTCTCTTTTTTTCTGTAAATATGTTTCCTCTTCTCTCTCCAACTCTCAGTTATATCTGATATAGTAAGGTTCTAAGACTCCATGCCTTTCCTTCCCTTTGCTTTCCTTTCCATACCTTTCCTTTTCCTTTGCTTTCATTTTAAGCAATTTATGAGCATTGAGCAAAAATAAAAAGAAGAAGAAGAAAATCTTCAAATCATTACGATTTCTTTGAGCTTAGAAACCCATTTTCGCTTACAAAATTAAAAATCTTCGCAGTGGGGCCACCAAAAATCAAAAGTTAACAATTCAAAACCAACCGTTCCAACTCTTTTTTCCCCTTTTCCAATGTGTTTTTCTCAATATTTGTACACTCATTCATACACATCGCTGCCGGCATCATCCTCCATCCTTTATCCTTTGTGCCGCAGCTGCCTTGCGTTGTCAACATATGGTCGTAAACAAATGTTTTTCGTACAACTGAGCTGTCAATGCGCCGGAGAAGGAGGTGAGAAGGGAGAACTTTGCGTAGCAGAGATTTGGCATAACTCGCGCATAGACGCCGACACTTACTTTTTCTCTCAGTGGCCACGCGAAGGAGTAAAATGACAGTTAAAGTGGGCGCAGAGCACAGAGCCAAAGTGAGAGTGAGAGTCAGAGGATAAGAGGGCAATGCGGAGTAGAAAAAAAAATCATTGTTTGCAAATCAAATGTCATTGGCATGCGTGACAAACGTTTTCTTGCTTCAACGCGTCTTCCGTTGTTACCCGCGCTGCTAGGAGGCACCGCTCTCAAAGGATGTTGTTTACTTAACAAATGTCAAGTTGTTTACCGGAAATGTTTACAGCACACGCTAGCGAGTGGCAAAGTGGGTGCTCTTGCGGAATAACAATAATCAAAGAGGAGATTTAAACAGGAAAAATGAAGAATTTCACACCAGGGCTAAGAAGATCGGCGGAGAAGTGCTGTTCGTATTCTCAAAAAGTAGAAAAAGATTACATTAAGCCACCATTGATATGTACCTTTACTTGTACAACTAATCATATTTTAGTTCATCTCTCTGGGCAAGCGCCCTTAAATATCTATACCAGTGATTGCAACGACCCCTTTAGCTCAAGTGTCAATCATAGTTATGAAAGAAAAGGTCCACAAGTACGCTTACACGAAAACATCCGAATGACCATAGCGAGTCAAGCGTTTCACCTGTTAGCAGAATAGCGAAGAAAGTAGACATCCAGGGAAGCCAGGACTTTCTTCAACTAAACTTCTTAAATGAGTAGATGTCTTTCTCTTAATCTGCTTCGACCAACAGGTACTAAATCGAAGGCTTTCAGAGATGGAGTATTCTCTTTTTTCCAGTTTCGGCACTGTCTCCTGATACCGACTCACTGAATCTCTGAGGGCGTTGTCGACAGTCGCGCCTTTGTACCGGAAGGACTCGGATTTTTAGCCTGCCAAAGGCTGTCACACCACAAAAATCCCCTAAAACTACTTTGGAGGAATATTTTTGCAGTTACAAAAACAACAAGGGCAAACATTTAGTCTTAAGTAGCAACTGCCGGTAAGACCGATTCTGCGATAATCAGCACATTATCGCTGATTCATAGTCTTTATAGTCCACGGGTCTCGACCCAGATTTATAGCATCCTGAATTTCTTATCAACGATGGATTTACCAACACATAGCTCGTCCGATGAGTCCTTATATGCCAATATTGAGGTGGGTTGACCGACGTTTTTGTAGTTCGCCCTTTTGTGGATTGCGCAGGGCATACTTAGGTTCTAATCATCCGACATGATCATGGCAGTCCCTCGAAGCTTGACTATTGCTAGCTACCGGTAAAAAGAAAAAAATATATATATCTACAGTTATAGGCCTTCTTGTAGGGCATATTCCCTCAGGCACGCAGAAACGTTGGGCGTATTATCCAATGACTTCTACAAAAGTTGCATACAAGAAGAAGAACATGAAAGCTTAATCCAATCTCTCTGCAAAAGCCCCGCACTTTTGAAGCTTCTAGGGGCTGCAACCTTTAGAGGCGGGAGCGAGATAGCGGTGGCTAAGATGCGACAACTGCTCAATTTTGCAAACCACACACATTGGTTTCATTAGGGGATGGCGGTCATAAGGATCCTCAATTAACCCACTTGGGGCATAGATGAACTGATCATCGGCAGCCACTTCAGCCAACCTAACAACCAACTCACATTTTAGCTGAAGGAAAATTCTGCCTTCAGTCTTGCCCCTATGACCAAGTCTGAAGAACAGCTTCTTCGTTGGGTTTTTGTGAAGATATCCCGCCATCGCCTTATAACTTTTAATACTTTAAAAAGCAATATTTCTTCAAAACATTTCCTGCAAAGAAATTTCACGCATTCCTTTCCCAATCCTTTTCTCTCCTTAGTAAAAAAAAGGAATAAAAAACCTTGCCATTTTATTATCATTCAACGCTTTCCAATTGTACCTCAGCCCCTTGTGTGTGCGCCTAAAAGTATACACCAAAAATGTCAACAAACATGTTACAGGCAACTCAAAGACAGCAATTCTCCTCCGCCTACAAAGCAAGCAAAAATATTTCCAACAACTGTTGTCGCT